CTTGCTCAGGCTGGTTTCGAACTCCTGAGCTCAAACAATCCGCCCGCCTCGGCCTCCCAGAGAGCTAGGATTACAGGCGTGAGCCACCGCGCCTGGCCCTCATCTTGCTCTTGATCTTAACAGGAAGGCTTCTAGTTTTGCATCACTAAGTGTGATATTAGCTGTATGTTTTCTTAGATGTTCTTTATCAAGTTAAGGAAGTTCCCCTCTATTCTTCGTTAGTTGAGAGATTTTTTTTTTCCTTTTCTTTCTTTCCTTTTTAGAAATAAAGATAAGATCTCGTTATGTTGCCCAGGCTGGTCTCAAACTCCTGGGCTCAAGTGATCATCCTGTCTCAGCCTCCTGAATAGCTAGGATTACAGGCATTTGCCACTGTGTCTGACTCTATTGAGAGTTTTTAATCATGAATGGATATTAGATTTTGTCAAAGGCTTTTTCTGCATTTATTCATATGCTCATGTGATTTTTCTTTTTTTAACCTGTTGATATGATGTGTTACATTAATTGATTTTCAAATGTTGGACCAGCCTTGCATACGTGAGATAAATTGGACTTAGTTGTGGTGTATAATTCTTTTTATACATTGTTGGATTCAATTTGTTAATATTTCTGGTCACATTTTTTTTTTTTTTTAAGAGGCAGGGTCTTGCTCTGCCACCCAGGCTGGAGTGCAGTGGCCCAATCATAGCTCCCTGCAGCCTTGAACTCCTGGGCTCAAGTGACCCTCCTCCTTTTTACCCTCCCAAATAGCTGATGCTATAGGCACTTGTCACTGTGCCTGGCTAATTTTTAAATTTTTTTGTAGAAATGGGGTCTCACTGTGTTGTCCATGCTGGTCTTGACCCCTGGCCTCAAGTGATCCTCCTGTCTTGGCCTCCGTAAGTGCTGAGACTATAGGAATGGGCCAGTGTGCCTGGCCACATTTTTTATTAATAGCTTGATTGGACCTTTTCATGGTATGCTGATCAAATATTCAGTTAAAACCTTGAAAAGTAGCATATATGTTGTATGATAGAATTGAAGTCTAATTTTTTTCTTGTATAGGCTGGATTGGCTAAATCTAACAAGATAGAATTTAATATGCATTATATAAAGATTTTTTGAGAATCAGTTTAATATACATAGTTAATGGCACACATTACCTGGGGTTTTAATTCCATTTCTGCCACTTAGAAACCATGTAACCTTGATCAAGTTATTTAACCTCTTCATGTCTCAGTTTCTTCATCTATAAAATGGGGATCGTTGTGAAATATAAAAGAAGTAATACATATAAGGCTCTTAAGATAATAGCTGGCACATAGTAAGGGATGATAAAACATTACCTGTGATTATTATAACATTATACACTTGGGTTAAAACAAACTCAGTTATTTAGGATTTGAGTGATATGATTTATCAACACTGAGAAAGATGAGATAGCTTAGTCTTTTGATAAGATATCTTTCTGTCTTTCTATAGAAAGATTTGTTGATAGTAAACTCAAGGGAATGATAGTGTTATTTGGATAGGATAAAAGTTAATATAGTTTAAAGGTCTAAAAAAGTGTTTGGTTAATAATCCTGATGTTGCCTATACCAGTTTTCCACTGTAATAGTTTGAAGGAATATAAAAATTTTAATTTTTGAAATTGAGATTGATGGAAAACCCTTCAACAGAATCTAGGAGAAATATTCAATTACTTATAAAGTACAAGGATCTGGCCTGAAGAAAACCAACCGAACCATTCCCAGATTTTGGCATGAGATTCTCTGAAAGAAGAATCTCACCACATTAGACACTCAATAAATACTTGTTGACTGAGATAACAAAATCTTAGGCTGACGTTCCATATATTATACCAATAAAAGCATAGCAGCTTTAACTGAAGACAGGGCAGGAACCTACTGTTCTACCCACTGGGTCCTGCCTTTGCACCTTGTGGTATCTCTCTAAGGAGCACAGTTTGAAGCTACCTTACAAGTAATGATCTGTGAGATTGGAGGAATAGGGTTCATGCATTTCGTTTTATCCTTCTTTCTATACCATCCAAAGACAATAATTCCCAGAAAACAGCTGGGCCTGGGTGGGGGTAATGGTAGATATATGCAGTGGCTTCAGAAAGGCTCATTTCTAATGGGAAATGTACTTCCTAAACTATAAAGCTCTATTGCAACGTCTGGGAGAGAGAATTCTGGCAGCAATGCTGTGACATCCATTTAGAATATCAGAGAACATTGCCATGCTAATGTTTTAGATAATTATAAAAAACAAAATAAGAAAGTAAAATCAATGAAAATGGGGATAAAATCCTGAAATAAAATATAAACAGAAAAAAATGAACCTAACTGTATTTCAAAAGACTAACATAACTACACTGAATGAGGAAAGATAAATAAATTTTGGGCATAGTATACTCTCAAACTCAAGATAAACAGACCTATAAACAATAGCAAACTCTAGTTTGTAGGCTGATTTTATTTTTGTAGTGATATGAATTAGCAATTTTCTGTCAGTTCTAGGACTGAACAAATGAGTAAGTGTATTGAGGATAATGGGAGTCAGGTTTTTCCATCGTTAGAGAAGGGAGTTGTATATGTGGAGAAGAGAAGGCTAGAATGGTGAACCCTGCAATGTTAGATTTGAATTCGAGTTGATTAACTCACAGTTTTTAATATCTATTTATATAAAGATAGAGAAATACACATATATACATGTATACATTTATTTATTTCTCATATAGATATATGTGTGTATGAGTTCATCTTATATATAATATATTCTTTATAACCTGTGTTTTGCCTTTAATGGTGTGAACCTTTTTCCATGCCATGAAATATTTTTGTGACTTACCATTTTTAATGACCACATTGCATGCATTTATTGTGATTTATTTAACTAGTCTCCTACGAATTTGTTTCTAGTTCTTTGCTATCTATATCTTTGTATACATACAAAGTTATTTTCTAAGAGCTTAGGCTATATTCCTAAAAGGATTCCTAAAATGGAAAGTGAAATAAGTACCTTCCTAAAATGTGGATTAATATACAACCTCACCAGGACTGCGTGAAAATGAGGAATATGTATCTGGGATTGAGTGGCTTAAATACTATATTGATTTCACATTAACTATAGAATTCTTTTGTACTTTGGCTTAACTATTAGAAATTGGAATCCAGATATTGACAAACAAGGTAAAATCAAATAGGGGAGAGGCATTATTTTCTAGAAGAAAATTGGCCAAAGGAAATAAGACAATTTCAAGAAGAAATCCAAAGTCAGTAATATGAAAATATATTCAACTTTTCTTCTATTCAAAGAAATGCAAACCAAAATGATGAGTAGAAGCATTTTTAACCTATCAGATTGGGCATAGGTTATCCTTCTAGTTGGAATATATGTTTAAGTATAATCTTTTTGGAAATAATTTGATAGTGATTATAATAATTTTAATTCTTTGGATAAACATTAACCTCATAAACTCTAAGAACTTAAGCAAAAGTATTTACAAAGATATATATACAAAGATATTTAATTGTAATAATTCAGAAATAACCTGATAATATCCAGTAGTGAAGAGTTGCTTAAATTATGGTATATCTCGAAGGAAAAATATATAGATTTTTTCTTTTAAATACTAATGCAAGGTAATTTTATGAAGAAAAACATAAAATTATAAAGTGTACTAATTTTTTTCATATAAATTCTCATCAAATACATGAATCTGTTGAAAGGGTTATTAATACCTCTGTTAAGTAAGAGATCAGGGTTTTCTGTTCTTTAGCGATTGGTTGAAATTAACAGATAGGTTTGGGAGGTGCCAGAGTTCCCATGAAGGTAGTCTATCTTACAACTATGTCATCTTTTGTTTTTGAACAAATTTTTTTTCATATGAGGATTTTAAAGAATAATATTGGGTACTATTTGAAGTTTAGAAATATTTGCCTAAATACTGGAATAGTATGAACAATGAATGTATTTTAAATCAGCAATTCTATTTTTGCTTTTTATTTTAGTTATAAATACTTCCCAAGACTGGACCTTAAGCTTTTTGACAGACCACAGGAGTTGAAACTTTGTTTTAGTAGACACCCTACTGGGACTAGCATTACAAACAGTCCAGCTCTCATGGCTAAGAGAACTAAACAGGTCAGATATTCTTTATCTAATACATGTTAATTTAAAATGTAAAATATGTATTTGTGATACGCAGCTCATAGTTTAGAATTATTACTCACAGCAATCATTTGAAGACCCACTATGGTTGTTACTGAATTAAACTAGATTTCTTGCAGCTCTGCTTGAAGTATTAAGGCTGAAGTTTTTGAATGCTTATGTTCATGCTTTAAGTGGGAATCTTTGGGAACCAAATATACTTTATTAAAAACAACTTTCTTGACATATAATTCATATATCATACAACTTACCCACTTAAAGTATATGATTCAGTGGCTTTTAGTATATTCACAGAGGTGTGCAACCACCACCATATGTAGTTTTAGAACATTTTCATCACTCCTGAAAGAAAGCCCACATCCTTTAGCCATTAATCCCTAATTCCTCAGTCCCCCACAGCCCTAGGCAACCACTAACCTATTTTCTGTCTTTATAGATTTGTCTATTTGGGGCATTTCATATAAATAGAATTGTATAGGCCGGGCGCAGTGGCTCACGCCTGTAATCCTAG